GGTGGACAGAACAGCTATAACAGATATTTTAGGGACAACTAGGGAAATTAAACATAGATTTCGTATTAGATGATATGACTCAAATTTCTCAGGTGTGGTAAACAGTTACACAAGAGATCCTCATTTCTAGGAGAGTATTTAGGAGTGAGTCATCACCATACTGCCTGCAACTCTCAATTAATTCAAAAAGTTGCATATATACCCAGCACAAATACATATACAGAGAAAGAATATGAGGGAAATCCCAGTCTCCGTACCCCAATCTAAGCACTGCATCTCTCCATTCCTCTAAATATTATCAAGAGTTCAAAGCCTCAGACTTGAGATCTTGAAGTACCCTGGAGTCACCACCCATAGTTAGTAAGCACACAATATGTACCAGCCCCGGAACCCAAGGAGGTGAAAAACAGAGGAGCTCTCTCCTCAGGAGAGTCAGCTCTGCTAGAGGTCAGGCTGCTGTGCTAGCTACTGTCTTAGCCAAAACCCTACCTTTTCTCAGCAAAGGAAGGTTCTGTGAGTCTCCAGCAGGCCTGTTATAGCCAGGAGAGGCTCTCAAGGAAAGGGCCTCTCAGCCTGCAATTTTTTCTTTTTCTGGAGAGCTGACAGAAAGGACTCCAAGAGGAACCTAGAATAAAAGACTGGATGTGGTCCCCAAATACAGCACCTGCACACCTCAGGGAAGGTTGGAAAAGGTCAGCATGGTGCACAAAGGGCAGGGTCCATCCCAGATGGCCTTCCTTCATCCCCAGTTATGCACTAACACCTGCAGTTAAGGGCAGGGACTCTGGGAAGCTCAGAGCTGCTACCCAGACTTGGTCTCTGATGGAAAAGACAATGGCAGCCAAAGTGATGCATTAACTGAGTCCTCCCCAAAGCCAGGGAGGCATGGCTGCTGCGGGCTGGTTAACACCTGGGTTGGGGGACTCTGACCCTCGACCCAGCTCATGGGATTTTAAAGGCTTTGTACTAACTCCTAGAAAGACCCCAAGGGGTAAGGTGGATTGAAATCAACCAGAATGAGAACTTTTGAAACCTCACTCAAGGGTACTCAGAGCAATAAAGACCTTGTTAAATGCCAAGTGCAGAGGACCAAAGTCAAAGGAAAGAAGGAAGAAGGAAAAGGCTGAATGGAGGGAAGGGGATGAAAGAAGCAGTTGTCACAGAAACACTCCATCCCCAAGAGGCAGAGGCTCTGGAAAGCACTGAAGCCACAGAAGTTACACAATTGGGGCTGAGATACATAATCTCCATTCCAAAACAAGTCATGATCTCTGGAAGAAAGGAAACCACGTTCATGCCAGGGGAGACATTTAGGGAAGGAAGGAGGGTCTGCAGCACGTGCTGCATCAGACACATTTTCTGTGGCCTTAGCCAGCCCAGCTCATGGAAAACACATCCCCCAAAGGAGTATTTTTGACATAGTATCCTAAAGCTGGCACTGCAAGCTCATGGTTCAGGTTTGCAAAGGCACACCTCTGTTTCACTCTCACTTTTTCCATATCACTTTTGGTTATTTTTATGCAATGAAACAGCTTTCCCAAAACAGCACGCCACTCTTTAGCGCACCCATGTGAAATGTGGAGCAGGGATGACCTGGCCAGAGCCCAGAGAATGGAAATGGTTACACTTCCTTCCCCTGCTCTAGACCTGCAATTATGGTCTTAGCTTCCTCACAATAAAGGCCCCATCCCTCAGAGGCCGGGCCATCGCTGGTCTCAAGGTCCCACAGATCCATGACATTCAGTGCAGGGGAGTTCTGGGTACTACACGGAAGTTAGGCAAACACACAAAGTAATAGAAGTCAGACACACATGGCAAACCACTCAGAGTTAGAAAAGTCTGAAAATCTTCCCTAGAAATCATGACAGCTGAACATGAAAACCTTATTCTTCTGCAGCTCTCCATCTAAGGAAATGAGTGTGAACTGCAAACACCAACAAACATGCAGAGGCCATCTGCAATCCTTACGGCTGTGATATTGGGAATAAATTCCACTCTTGGCCATGTCAGCCTTTCTTTCACACTGTCCCACCCTTGTATTTCCACAGCCCCAACTGCTTTATCCATTTGTTTGATTCTCTTGTGATCAGAAAGTAAATGCACAAGTCTGTAAACATGACAATTTAAAATCGACGATGAGGGTCTATGTCAGTAAGCAGCAGAATTAGAAGGCTTTTCATATTATTCATACTCTTGGAACCTTTCAAATGTATTTTACAAAGAAGCTTATAATATAATAATCTGCAAACACACAATGATGGCAAATGTCATCCATAGGACACCTTAGGAAGAGCCTCCTATCATTTTTGCAAAAGCAAACTGGGAGCTGGAGAGGTCTTCTGTCCACAGTTATAACACTGCATAGGCCTCTCTAACTCCTCACACTCACTCATTTCACTCCCCCATGTGCAAACGGCAAAGAAACCATCATTTGTCACGTGGCATAAGCTAACACTTTATTGGGAACTGTAGATTCTGACTGCCCATAGGATTACAGTTTATCATTACATTGGTCAACAACTTGATTTGAACCAACACTGGCAATGCTGCTGCTCTGACTTTGCTGAATAGACATCCCTGGAATAGACTAGGGATGCTCAACTCTGACCCGTTCTGAGTAAGTCCTGGGTGTTTGATTACCAGGGGTGGGTCCCCACTCTACCGAGGTCTGAGTGTCAACCTTGCTCTACTGGAAATACTAAGGGGGTGTGCTATTTGGCATTCTTGAGATCTCTGCTCTTCTTTTACAAAAGCCACAGGAGACGTGGGGGCAAGAATCTGAGAGGTGATTCAGCTGGAAGGGGTGGCCCTGCCTCTTCAGGCACAGTGAAACAAGGGGAAACTGGGAAAAGAGGAGTGAGAGTTTTAACACAAAATGGTGAAGGACAGGGAAATGCAGGGGATGGGGGAGATGGGATACTGCAAACAAACAGGGGACATGGGATACAGAAAACAACCTCAGAGGTGGTGATCAATCAGGTAGGGAGCGAAATGCCTCTCATACACCTCATCATCTGGGTTCGCCTTCACACAGCAGGCCCTCAAATATATGCTAGACAAAACTTAAAAGAATGTATCAACAACAGCTTGTGGCTTTGAGGAGTTGAAAACCGAGCTACTGAGTGCCTTTTCATTTTTTCCCTACTAGATGGGAGCTGAGAGGCAAGGATCCCAGGCAAGAAAGAGGTGCTGTTGTGTTAGCACAAAAAGGGAAGTAGAGTCAGGAGTAGCCTTCCTGATATAAGACCAGGGCAGAGCTGTACCTGGTACCTGCCATACCACAGCAAACATGTTTTTCATTCCCTCTTCAAGTCAACCAACAATTCTCAACTAGAGACACTGCCTAAATTTATAGATAATTTGTGCTACAAGTTCTCTGATGAGCTAGCTGTTTAGAAAACAAGTATTTCCCCAGAGAACCAGTTCCCCATGTACAAGATATGGCCCTTGAGTCAGCCAATAAAAACTTTCTAAACCACCCTGGCTTTGAAACACAAAATCTTGAATGCTGTAACAAAAGAATGAAAGATGCTGTCAGCCAAGTTTAACTACCTGAGCACTAAGAAAATGAATCAAGTCTTCTCCGGAGTGTCCAAATACATCTCCTTCCCCTAATAGGTCAGTAACACGCTGCCTTTCCCTCAGGGGTCCCCTAAGGCGACCCTCCTTTCTGAGGTAAGGGATCTGCTCAGCATGGCGGCTTCAGGCAGTCCTGCAGGGGCTGGGGATGTGAGAACCCCAGGAGCTGGCCAGCCCTTACAGCCTTCCTTCCATCAGACCTGCTAAAGAGCTGTCATATTCCTTATGAGGACATTGCTTAAGCTAACAACCAAAATGCCCTAACATTGTCCTTCCCATATTCTCCTGTCCTCCGTAAGTGAAGCTTGTTCTGAGGACTCTGACTCACTGAATACAGTCCATGATTAGCAGACTGCCTTCTTTGCCCTCTGCGTTTGCTCCCACTTCCCTAGCAGGGAGAGACAACTTATATGTTTACTCTGCTGTCCTTGCCCTGAGCATATAGTCCTGTCGCCACAGGCTCCAGCCCTTGAGCAACATCCTGGGGTAAAGGAAAAGGCTGAATGTGAAGAGGGTGGAAGAAGGGGACAGGAGGGGACAAAGCAAGACTGCAGGAGAAGGTAAAAGAAGACAGTTCTTTTCCTTCCTATGTCAGCTCCACATCCACGTAAGCTGGGGCCTGGGGATGCAAAGCGCACTTTGCACTTTGAGGGAACACAAATCAGCAAGAAAAGACACAAACGAAAAAGGATAAAGTGGAATAAGAGTCACATTAGAAGAATATACACAAGATGCATGTGTGGGAATTCAGAGAGGACAACGGAGGCGTTGGGAAGTCAAGGGTGCTTCACAGAGAGAAGTGGAACAAGCCAGGACTGGAAGGCTGCAGGTGGGCACAAGCACAGGATGGTAAGACAGCACAGTGGGCTTGAGGAAGAGGAGCTCATTTCTTGGTGAGTGCAAGGAAGGAGACTGCAGGGCTCAGGGACATACCTGGAAGGGCGGTGGGACAGAGAACAAATGTGCCTGCGGGGTGGGCACATCCCAGTTTTTAAACAGGGAGTAGGGCTGTAGCCTCTTAGCACCCAGGAAGATGCAAACTTTGGAAAAATGACACCAGGGTGGCACACAGGGCGGGGCAGAGGAGAGGAGCCTTGGAGGCAGGGAAACCAACGGGAAACCTAGTAGAACACAGTACAGGTCTGAACTTCAGGAACTGGGGGCAGTGACAGAGTACTAGAGAGAAAACTTGCCCTGCCAGCTGGTGGGATGGAAGGAGCTGAGTTTCAGCCTGCACAACTGGTTAGGAAGTGGTGCCACCCACCTAGAGAAGAAACACAACAGGGCTGGGGAGAGGCAAGGCAAATGCCACTAGGCCACACGTCCCCATACTCCAGTCAGTCCTTCCAAGCAGCCCTAGGTGAATGTGCACAATGCCTTGTGGGCACGTCAGCATTCCCAATTCAGTGCCCCAATCTCACCTGCATCCAAAAGTAGTCTGCAGCAAAGTTGTGATTCCCACGCAGAAGAAAATGGTCCCAATGAGCTGGCTGGTGGCCCACTGGTCATATCCCACACACATGGCATCGGCCAGCAGAAAGGGCACTGCAATGGTGCCGCTAAAACATGTCAGGTAATGCTGTGGGGATAGTGAGACAGAGGGGGAAAATTAATCTTTTTTTTTTAATTTTTTTCTGATTTTATCCTAATTTTGCCCACTCCCCTGTTATTTTTAAAAAGTAGCACACATGAATTTGTTTTTTTAGGTACACTCATCATATGCCAAATTGTTTTTTTTTCCCCCCAGCATTTCTCCTATTACATTTTCTTGTCTTCTAACTCACCTGTATTATTACTTATTACTTGCATGAATTCGGGCCAGCACAAAGGAAACGCAATACAAACACCAGTAATGTTTTATCTATAGAATTTTTACTGAGAATATTTGTTTTTTTAACTGCTTTTCAGCACCAGTTGCTAAAGGCCATAGATCTTTCCCCTCTAATCTGTTAACAGGAACTGTGTGGCACTGAACCATTCTTGAAACAAATCCTAGTTAGTCATGTTAGATTTTTCTTCTGGAATTTGATTTGCCAATATTTTATGTAGAATTTTACAACTATGTTTTGAGATAATTCATCCTTTTTAAAAAATTCTTTTAGGTGTGGGGATTAAAGTTACAAGCTTCACTGCACAAGGCATTTTCCATCTTTTCCTACGACCTGGCATTATTTAACAGTAATCAGGGAAGCACTAGGCTCACACAGCAGCTGTGGGAATCATCCAGAAAGAGCTGGTACCACTCCTCCTTTAGGACCCCTCCCCCATTCCCTACAGCCCAGGCAGGACATTCCAGCTCTCACTGCTCACATCCCTTCCTCCCAGAGGCCTGCCTGTTCAGTTCTTTCTTCTGTTCTGCAAATTTCCTCTTTTCTTCCGAACAGTTCCCCATCTCTGCTCATTTTTGCCAAAATGCGCTGCTTGCAGCCCAAAAAGATCAACTGTGTAACACTAACAGGTGTTTGGTGAAGGGAACAGAACATTCCCATCCAGAACTTCCCAGAGCTGCTCATAAGATTGCACTGGCAAGAAGGGAATGATGCATACAGGGTTTCCTAATCTTATCTGAAAAGGGAAGACTACTTCTAGACACATCTATAAACATTTCAAAAAATGAGTTTCCTGAACCTCATTTGAGACATTCAGCCCTAGGGAACTTATTTGCCCAACCAGTCAGGTCCTTTGGTTATGTCTTCTTTATTAGAATGCCTTTCTGTCCAGGTTACCAATTGTTTTAATACCTAAGATGGGGGAAGGACCTGGAAATTGAACCAAAGTATTAGCTGTCAGCAGGTACAGTCCACATCCAAGTGAATAAACTTGTCTGGGTAATGAGACTGATTTCCTTAGCATGAACTGATCATTGTAACTTGAGAAAGTAAGAATGGAAAGTGAGACCTCAAAACTAAGGCAAACAGACCAGAGCTGTGTGTCTGGGCAAAGAGCCTTCCACGTCATCCCCTTTCTCCTAAAGCCCCACTTCGATCATAAGTGGGAAAAGGGAGTGGTGGCTGGGGGGAGAAGGGGGAGTGGATACCAAAGATGCAGAAGTCCTGCACCAGCCTGGGTCACTTCTCGCCCCATTCCTCCTACCTGTTCCTTGGCAGCTTCCCTGCTCTGCTCCCACTGGAAACTGCAAGCAGACATTACCAAGGCAAGCCTGCCTTCCTTTATTTTTTTATTTTTTACTTTTTTTTATGATGAACAAAACATTAGAATTTTATTTTATTTTATTTTCCATTTATTTTTATTAGTTGGAGGCTAATTACTTTACATCATTGCAGTGGTTTTTGTCATACATTGAAATGAATTAGCCATGGATTTACATGTATTCCCCATCCCGGTCCCCCCTCCCACCTCCCTCTCCACCCGATCCCTCTGCCTTCCTTTAAAAATAAGACTGAAGCCTCCACATTTATGGCCTGACCAACATAGCACTTTTTTTTTAATTTATTTTCTTATTGAAGGATAATTGCTTTAAAGAATTCTTTGTTTTCTGTCCAACCCCAACATGAAACAGCCATAAGTATACATGTATCCCCTCACTTTTGAACCTCCCTCCCATCTCCCGCCCCATCCCACTCCTCTAAATTGATAGAGAGTCCCTGTTTTAGTTTCCTGAGCCATACAGCAAATTCCCATTGGCTGGCTATCTATTTTACATATGGTAATGTAAGTTTCCTTGTTACTCTTTTCATACATCTCACCCTCTCCTTCCTTCTCCCTGTGTCTGTAAGGCTATTCACTATGTCTGTTTCTTCATTGCTGCCCGGTAAATAAATTCTTCAGTACCATTTTCTAGATTCCATATATATGTGTTAGAATACGATGTTTATCTTTCTCTTTCTGGAAACTCACTTCACTCTGTATAATAGGTTCTAGGTTCATCCACCTCATCAGAACTGACTCAAATGCATTCCTTTTTATGGCAACACAGCACTTCTTAATGTCACCCATATTTCATGGCAGTTGACAGTGACTAGGGATTGGTTAACTAGGAATGAGAGATGAACACTAATCCTTCTTATCTCTATTTCTCTATGTTCCCTTCCCTCTATTCTCCCCCTTTCCATACATCTATGATCTTTTTTCCTTCCTTCCTTGTCATTTCTCTTGCTGATTCCCTGAATATTTTCCTTCTTTCTTACCATGGTTACCCTACTCCTCCTGTTTTCTTCCTTTCACTGCTTTGAAATTCAAATTAACAATTACCATTCATCATCCTTAAAAGAGTAATTTAAAGCTGTCAATAAGTAGAAAATAAAAATTGAATTTTAAATAATCTAGACAGACAATTCAAGAATCTACTGGTGGTTACATTCCAAAGGAATCATCTTACCTGCAACCCCAGAAAAATGCACAGGTACCAGGGTGGAACATCTTCTATGGTATAAATCATATCTGATCTCTGGGGGTCTAGACTGCCAGTGCTATCCAAGGTCTCAGCAAGGGAGCTCTGTGAGCAAGGGAGAAAAGTAGTTGTTTAATAAAAGCAAGGTCTAAAGTTAACTCAGCACAGGCTGTTACTGAAAAACAATTTTATAAAGTGGCTGTCACTCTAATGTAAAATTAAGCCTTTATTACCTTTGACACAATGTCAAGCACACTCAGTGGGATAGTCTGTTCCCAGGATTTAGGGGCTCAGTATCACTTGCCATCAACTCATCCCCAAGAGCAACCAGCTTGCTCACAGCTTCTCCCCAAACCTGGGCACCTCCTGCATAGAGAGATGCTCCCAAGGTTGAGACCACAAAGTAATACCATGGCATGAGTGATACCATTCTTGGGTGGTAACCTGAATGAAGAAATATTATAAAATGCTAACTAATTTCAACAGCACTACTCTGTCCCTCCTATCCCATCCCATCCCTGCAAGGAAAAAGATTTTTGTACCTAAACACCCTTCTTTTATTCATTTTTAAATCTTATTTTTGGCTGTGCTAGGTCTCTGTTGCTGTAAGTGGGCTTTCTCTCATTGCAGCAAGTGGGGGCTACTCTCGAGTTGCACTGCACAGGCTTCTCATTGCAGTGGCTTCTCTTTTCAGAGCGTGGGGTCTGGAGCATGCGGGTTTCAGTAACTGCAGTGCATGGGCTCAGCAGTTGTGGCACATGGGCTTAGCTGCTCCATGGCATGTGGGATCTTCCTGGACCAGGGATCAAACCCATGTCCTCTACACTGGCTGGCAGATTCTTAACCACTGGACCACTAAGGAAGTCCCAGGAAACACGCTTCTATTAAAACACTTCTGCTCAGACACAAATGTAAGTGAAGACAGAAAAGGTATACAGATACTATGATTCAAAGAAACTGATAAAATTCTGTAAAACAATTATCCTTCAATTAAAAACTAAATTTTTAGAAAGAAAAAAAAATTAAAGATGCTCAAAAAAAAAAAAGACTAAAAATGTATTTATAGTTGAGGATAACCCCACCAACCCCCATTACTGAAGATTTTTTTAAATGTTGTGTTGTGTGTTTTATAAACCAGAACCTTTAGAGACCACAGGTTATACTCCAGACATTTCCAATCAGCTTCAGCATCACTTCTGAACTCATCCAGTATCTGAGCCAAACTGAAAACTCAGGGGGGATCCCGTATATACCCACAATGTTACCCTGTTTCTCAAGCCATACAAACAATTTCTTGGAATCCAAGATGTGCCTTTCTTTTTTAAAGTTTTTAAATAATAAAGCACCTAAGAGGAAACAAAATTACAAGATGTGCCACAAAAAGGATAAAGATGACAATATTCTAAACCCTGGTCACATCTAGCCCAATTTGTTCCACTTTCCAATGGATCTGATCCACAGAAATATTCTGAGAAAGATGCTGACTCCTTGTTTATCACTCCATTTTTCATTTTTCATACACTGGCCAAATACTCTTGAACAAAGAATGTTGTATTAGTGACACAATTCAGTATCACTTTCAAAAGCCTAAAGGTAAATATCAAAAGTAAACGGACACTTGATCTAATCCAAATGTGAATTGAATATGACCTTTCTGAACCATTCAAACAATGGATATCGGCAGGTTTAAACATATTATATGTGTCATTCAAAACTTGTTCATAGGGGTGGCAGAGAAGGTACACATGGTGAGGAACTTGATACGCAGTTGTGTGTGTGCTTAGCTGCTCAGTCATGTCCATGTGATCATGTCTTTGTGACCCCATGGACTATATAGCCTGCTAAGATCCTCTGTCCGTGGGGATTCTCCAGGCAAGAATACTGGAGTGGGTTGCCATTACCTTCTCCAGAGGATCTGCCCAACCCAGGGACTGAACACAGGTCTCTTGCATTGCAAGCAGATTCTTTACTACTGAGCCACCAGCGAAGCCATGATATGCAGTGATATGCAGTAAAGGATTAACTCAGCAGGTCTGGGCTGTACAAACCCTGCATATTTGAAAGAAAAGTTTGGTCCTTACCTGACACCTGGAAGATACTTCAATGTTTTTGGAATATCCTTCCTCTTAAGAGTATATTTGTCTACTTGAATCCCTGAGCTGCCCTTCATAGATTATTCTAACAGTGCAATTGACAATGGGGGCCTTGGGCCACATGGTATCAATTTGACTCCAGTGGGTCTGGCAACACTTCTTGAGTGTCCTCATACATTGTTTTGGGGGAAATTAAGCACTGCCCACATGATTCCATTAGGAAGTGGACAAATGAAAGTTTGCTCAGTGTCTCCTATATCCTGCCCTACATGGTTTTTTTCCCACTGACTTTAATCTGAACCCTTCTCAAATAAGCTATAACCAGAAGCTTTTCTGAATTCTATGAGTCGGCCTTGTTGTTCAGTCATGTCCAACTCTTGTGACCCCATGGACACAGCATGCCAGGCTTCCCTGTCCTTCACTATCTCCCTGAGTTTGCTCAAATTTATGTCCATTGAGTCAGTGTTAGTCATCCAAGCCAATCACTGAACCTGATTCGGGACTCCTAAACGACTCTTGGATATCTCTGAATGAACGTGACCATTTGCTGATATGATGCAACTATGGACACTGGACTCACTACACAAAGGACAACTCAACACCATCAAAGTGCCTACACGTGGGAGTGTTACTGCTCACAAAGTAACAAAAAGAAATGTCTGAAAACAGAGTACCATAGCACTACAATTACTAGATTAGTATAATCTGTTAGAATAATATTGTAAGCATTATTACTCTAATGATTCCCAAATGGCTAGTTTTACCTATAAAACACATGAACAGAACTGAAGACTGAATCTATCCTCTTTATAACCTGGAAGGCTAAGATTATGATGTGTACACAAACGTGTATATATATATATACTGTATACACACAATTTTTCTTAGTAATAAGGGTGGCTCTACAACTCAGTAATGGAACTAATGTAAATGTCCACTGATGATATCAAGAAAAAGCAGGAAATTGTGTGGTCAAGGGGATCAGTGAACCCTGTCAGACAAATGCTACACTGCTCCTCCCTGAGACAGAAGGAGAATGGTCACTGTAGACCATGGTACCACTTTCTGTTATCACAGCATGAACAATATGAACCATTTTAAAACTGCAAAAACAAAAACCTACAACAGAGAAGTCTCTTTGAAAGATGATTACATTAAGTCAGACAGAGTAGGAGAAATATTGGATGACATCCCTTCTATGTGGAATCTAGAAAGAAATAAAAGAAATGAACTCACTTACAAAACAGAAAAGAGACTCACAGACTTACGGTGAGGGTGAGGGGGTGAGGATTGGGGGAAGCTGGAAGGAGGGAAAGTTAGGGAGCTTGGGGTGGACATATACAAACTCTATATGTAAAGTGGATAACCAATAAGGGCCTACTGTACTGCATATGGAACTCTGCTCAGTGTTATATGGCAGCCTGAAAGGGAGGGGAGTAAGGGGGAGAATGGACACATGTATATGTACAGCTGAGTCCCTTCACTGTTCACCCTATCGTAACACTGTTAACTGGCTATACCCCATTATTTCTGGAATACGTAGAGCATCTGTATGAGCTGGGACCCATCTGGGAGAGGGAAAGACTCTACAACATAGGTGCTGGAGGGGAAAGGTAAAAAGAAGTGAGCTGGTTGACCAACAGAAGCTGAGAAATGTTCTAAATGTTCTATGCTTGAAGGCACAAGACAGAATAGGGATGGGAAAATGATGGGCTTTAACTCTGTAAACCAATCAGACACCCTGCTGCCTGCCAACTGCTATCCTCGCCCTTCAAGACACAAAAACGTATTATTTGAAGAATACACATCAGAAATACCTCAGACTGAGGAATACTATGTGTGGTTTTAACCCACAAGCATGAACAGTGATATCCTTATCTGTTTCCGGAATGCCAGAAGCTACAGGAAGACACTAGAGTACTCCTTTCCAGATCAGCCTCAGAGACAAAACACTACCATCTACAGACCCTACAGTGATAAGATAGCTTTCCCTATTCAGTGGAAAGGCTGAACAGAAAACTTTATCCACACACAATGATTCTACAATCATATTTTTTATTGCCTCACATTCCTCCAAAAATAAGAGCCAAATAGAAGAAATAGGTCCATGTAGTAGAAAGAAAACACATTGGCAGGGGGAGAAACCTGTCTCTTCACAAAAGTATTTTGAACTTGGGAGGAAAGAAATGTCATTTTCAAAGCTCCAATCAGTAAATAAAAACAAAAACAAAGAGTAAAAAAGACCTTAGGAACTAAAAACAGGATAGGAAAAAAAATTCAACAAACGGGTTGAGAGTCCCAAATAACATGTGCCACAAATAACAAAAAGACAAATGTGGGTTAAGAACAATTTTTATGGAAGAAAACAGAATATAGGAACCAAAGAAGTAAGAAAATTTCTAAGAACTAAAGGATATGCTTGCAAATTAGAAAAATACACTAAGTTCTCAATAAATTAATTAAAAAAGACTCAACTATCTTTGAAAACAACAAAAGAATCTAATATGTCAAGAAATTTAAGAACAAAGGGGAAATAAAACATGAGTTTTAACAATTTGGACAGAAGGGGAAAAAAAAGAAAAATCAAAATGGTAGGAGCACAAGAGGGAAAGACAACATGAAAAAAGTATAAGAGAAAAAAAGATTAGAGAGAAGTGATAGAGAGGGCAAAGTAGATTCAGAACAGACATAAATGGAGCCCCCAAATAAGAAAACCAAAAGAAGAAACTAGAACAAAAAATAAAGATGTAATTCAAGACAACATTGCTGAAGTAACAGGAGACTTGAAGCTAAATATTGAAAGTGCCAAGAAAAGCTGAACCAGAAGGTCAGCTTCAAAACTTATTATTATTATATGATAGTCAGTAAAGTTACTGAATATAAAAGATAAATAACCCAAAGAAAAGGCAAAAAGATCAAGATATTGATTTACAAGGGGAAAAAAATAAGACCAGCCTGAGTTCTTCAAAGCCATATTCAATACCAGAAAATGAGAAAAGAGCAAACAATAAG